CACGACGTTCAGTTGCGTCTCTTTCACAATGGTATGATCTTCCAATTGTTAAGCGTTTCCTTATGCTGGCTGCTTTCTGTATTGCGTGTTTCAGCATGCGCCAAGTGGATTGGGTCCCATTCGTTACACGCCATGTCGTCGACGATTTCGCCTCCCATTTGAGGTTATATCGAATGGCAAGCGACAAATTTAAGTTCATAGGAAAGAAAGGTAGCCTTCTCTTCTCAATTTAGTGAGATCAACTGCGTTCGGCGACGTTTAGAGTGGTTCATTTGCAGATGGACTACCATCTGCAGAGAATGATTTACTGAGCCATTTTTTCGATTTCGAGTTGGAGATGGAGAAAACGATCTGTAGGGATCTTCTGTGTACAACACCGCATTATGAGAACGGTAGGTAAAGAATTATTTTAAGAGCGGTTTTGTGATGATTTCACTCGCCCGGATAGCGTAAGTTACGTGTTCGACTCCCGCTTGAGGTTCTACTTTTGCCCATAACTCAGCTTTCTTGTGATATTTTACAGTGTTTTCATATAGAATTCAAGCAACATATTCGGTAGCAGGGGTGCACGGTTGCTGCGTTACCTGCTAAGAGGCAAATGACGTGTCATTCACGTCATGTAACACGTTGAGGACGTGTCTTTACACTCGACTGACATGACAGGTTTTTCCCCCTTAACTTGTAATGTTACATGCCACCTTTATACACGGACCATTGCACCTTTGAAACTTGCCATCCTCCAAGGGAGGCGGGGGGGGGTCGTATTTAGCCGCCACGGAGAGGTAGTGGTATACTGCCGTGGAACTGGTTTCCTAATTGTTGATTTTTCCGTTTCACGAGCCGTGTAACCATCCAGTTATCAGCGCCGTAAAACCACTATTCTGATCATTGATAGGAGGTGTCTGAGACCCCTTCCTCCCCATAGGAAATTTCCCATAGTAGCAGGTAGGATGGAAAATGAGGTCTTCCAGAGGGCAAATTTAGGGGACTATTTTGTAAAAGTCGCCGAAATTGGATGCTGTGCGCTGGCAGCTACACATGCGCCGTAGCTTGTAAAAAATTTGTCGTTCTTAAGCTGCTCTTGGCGAACCCCTACTGCCTCTCCCCATCTCTTTTCTCATGACTATCAGAGCTTGTTTTAGCCTATCTTCACGATGTTGTCGATATCGTACTTTATCTCATCATGCCTCCTGAAGACTTCCGCTGCAGGCCACTCAGATTTTTGCTCCGAGAGGTTATTGGTGGGTTACAGTGAAGTTTTCCTTCGATTCCATTTACGCCCCTTTTCTCTTTTGAAAAGAGTGCGTTAGCAACAGTTTTTATGTGATCAATTTTTTTGAAGTGAGTAAAATGCCTTTCTTTGTACTCTCCGGAATATATATTTTGCTCAGTCGGCGGCGTATCATCATCCCACTTCTTGACCACTTTTCTGAACCTGATGAGATGAACCAAATTTTGATTAGATTGGTGAGATTTTCTATGGCCTCGTTCGTTGCGAGTGTGGGCGTGAGCAGCGCTGGCCTGCGTTCGCTAGAGTCGCGATTCTCCTTTTCTTTCTGCACAGCGACAAGTCCTATGGTATATTAGTTCGTCTATCAGTCGCTTGGTTGTCACTACTCACTTCGGGCAACACGTGCGGGAATGCGGTTGGCGCAGCGTGCCAGAGCGCGCCCGTGCGCTGAACCGCAGCGCCTTAATAGCCGCACCGAACAGGCCTCCTACGTCGCTCTCGCAGAACATTTCTCAAACGTTCAATTTCAGCTAAGTGAAATCTCTCCACGGCCTGATGATTTTGTCGCCTGTTTGGAAAACAGTGTCTCTGTAGATGAGCTTGAGGCAGTGCATAAGTCAGTACAGGATGAAAAAATGGTCTGGCGTCGGAAAACACAAACACATACAACAGAGACAGTCAGCGCTCCCCCGAACGAAGGTGGGTAGAGAAATTATTTACTATTCTTGCTTTTTTTGGCTAGAGAAAACTTACTTTCTCTTGTTTTTTTTGCTTTATGTTTTCAACTCAACATTTTTCGTACCACTATATGAAGAAGTTATCCAATGATATGTACTTTTCCCGTGCGGGAGTGCAGTTCCATCACAGACCTGTGATCGGCCGAACGCATCATCTTAACACCGGACCAACCCCCCAACCAAAAAAAACAACGCCAAAAAAGTCGCTGTGGGTCATCCGAAATAAACACCCGACACCGCTGGCGGCATTACTGATACGAGTTCTTGCCTGCTCGCTCTTACGCCAGCTGAGTTCGTGATAAAAAGTAGCCTTTAAGTTTTGATGGGATGGACCAGGAGGTGTCAGTCCTGCTACTTAAGAGGGCCCAGCACCTTCATGACCTGCTGTAAAGGCGCAAAAAGGGCCAATCTTAGAGATTAAAGACAGCTCCCGCGATAAAAGTGTGAAGGATAATTGCTGATCAATTATGAAACATTAGCTGATAGGAAATTCCTCAATGAAGGAAAAAAGCAACAAAAGCCCTCAAGAACACCATAAACAATATTGCTCCCTGACAGTCACACCTCCTTGCGGTCTCTGTGCAAGCCCTGGCTCACAAATCACTTTGTCACATCTCCCAGTAGTGTATGTCATCGAATAGGAAGAAAAGAAAACAAAAAAACAACAAAAACATGTGTGAAAACTCTTGAAAAGAAAAAGAAACATTTAAAAAGCCGGCGTCCGAACTTAGGGTTACGGTAGCGTGCATATTTTAGTGTAGTGAAGTGCGTCGAGCTTTGCACCATTCACATTTTTCGTGATTTTTACGCGTTTTACCTTACGAGATGGAATGCAGTTGACTGTATGTGCTCCAATGAATAAAATGTGATGAAGGAGAGCAGAATTATTTATGGGCACGAGCGCGGTCAGCAAAAAGTACATGCAGTCCCGATTAATGCCCGCCGTCCCAACAAAGAACAACTGAAGCGGTCTCTCCGTCAGAGGGCAGTCTAACAAGTGAGGCGGTCAACGCTAGTTATTTACAGTCTTACAGAGATTTCTTTGTCGGACATTGATGCTGCGTAAGTGAGCCTTTCAACAGTCTTTTTTTGCATGCTTCACTTTTGATTTTGTCTTATTTCAGCCTTGTTTTCCTTTGTGCGTTCGCTTCATACGTTGTTTCATTAGGTTGCATTTTTAGCACTATTTACCTTTCATGTGCACCCCCTCTAGTTTCTTTCGAAGTTTATCCCTGGTACACTTTGCCTAGAACTCGGCAGATGGATGTGATATCCATGTTCCTTGAAGGCAGTGAGCACGATTGCTGTGGTTGTTGCCAGTCTCACTGATGAAACGGCTGCGAGAGGGCGTTAGGTCACATCTTTTTTCAGCCCTTCCACCAATGGCTTTGGCGAAAGCCGCCCGCCTTCAGCAATCGTGCCCGCTGCTGTTAGGCTGAGTATCTCCGAGGGAAAGTTTAACCATATCCGCTTTCAGTGCAGGATTTGTTTAAAAAAACTACACAAAATTCTCGGCGGGGGGGGGTCGTAAAAAGGTAAATAGTGCAATTCTTCTTATTTCACTGAATTACGAACGATGAAAGATTTTCTAGGCTCGCGTGATCTCGAATGAAGACGGGTTGGTACAGCTTCCACTTCACGTAGTGCTGACCAACGGGGTCGCTGTTTCCTATTTTATTGACTACCTTCAAACAGTTGGTGGACAGAACTACATAGACTTCTACTTGGCCATTGAGGTGCGTTCTTTTGGCTCATTGAGTTCACCGCTTTTTCGGGCGTGTTGTGTAGATAGGCGTAGTACCTAGAAGCATGGAAACACTTGTATTCGGTAGGTTGTTCGGCTCAGTTCGGCTCAGTGGGGCATTTTGGCGGTTCTCATCGGTCACTGCCGATGCCTGCTGTGAAAACTTGGGAACTCTTTCAATGCCATACATAAGAACGAGCTTCTGTCGATCCTGCAACTTTTTCTAACTAACAGGCTTCATGTATGTGAAAACCTGTAGGTTTCACCGACATGAAGCCTGTTAGTTAGAGAAAAATTACTAATGGAATCTAGCGAACCAGGAATGCCCCCCTGCGGCATCCAAGACGAACAGTGTCCAGTATTTTATTGATTTTTACCATCCACATTTGCAAGCTGTGAAAGTTGTGTATTCGGCTGTATTGTTAAGGGTTTCAAAGTATCTGTGGAACATCAGCTGAGAACTCTCTCAAATGGTGAGACGGTTGGGGATGATGTCCACGAAACGATCAAGGAAGCGGCACAGTTTATGTACCAGCAGTACCTTTCTCAAGAAGTGGGTTCTTCAAATGAAAAGCACTTATGCAGACTTATTTTCGCGTTTCGTTATACAGCTGTTATATGGTCCTCATTAAGGCAATCACGCGAGTCCCCCTCGAAGAGAGTATCATTTCGAAGTTTCTGTCACGAATAGAAAGCGAGGAGCCATGTGATTATTGGTTTGAGCAGGTACAAGAAAAGGTGGGTTGGTTAGTTGTGAGTGTAGATCCGAGCTTTTCACTTCAATTTTTCGATAAATCATGTAGCTTTGAGCCAGATTCAGTCCTCAATATCGTTTCGACTGCCGTCACCACCATAGCGTGGCGGTGCTTAGACGCGCCAGTTGAAGGGTGAAGGCGTACGTCGCTTGGCATGGCATTTTGACCACATGGCATTTTGAATCTGGCAGACGGACATGAAAATCTGTTGAGTAGATGGCCATGGGGAGACGCATAGGGTGGTCGCGTCTCACAGGTAGATCGCGCCCCTCCCGTCGAGATCTGTGGAGGCGCGCCCCTCAGGCAAGGTAGTCGTTCTGTGGGCCCCCTCAGGCAAGGTACTCGTTCTGTGGGCCCCCTCAGGCAAGATAGGGAGGCTTTCGTTATAATAAGAAAGCTGTGAGACTGATTAACAGCTCTCCCACGATTGCCTACCTTTTGTTTCGTCAACTGGTGTTTTTCGTACCTCTCATCGTCTACGTTGGTTCACGTCACCATATCGCAGGCGAACTTCGGCGTGCTCACTGCGACTTCGACCCTTCTTGCTCCGTTGGGATCTCATTTCTTTCTTTGTTGTAATTTGTTCTCTTGCAGATAAACTTTATATTAGCCCGGTTGTCGGCATTCACTAAAGAAGTAACCGCTTACCGCTTACAAAGGGCCGAGACTAGACGTCCCCGGCCTTACATGAGGGCCGAACTAACTTGCTAAAAAGCGATTACTTCGTTTGCTGAGTGAACGGGTGTAGAGGAGGGATTGTTCCTGGTCATTCATTGAGTGGGGTGCCAGGAGATCCGAAAGAAGTCAAGGTGCTCTAAGGAAGGATAAGAGCAATTAGGAAAATTGGCCTCGCTTTCCACCAGAAAGGGGGCCAGGAGGTTGAACGAAAGCAGGGTGTTCTGAGGAAGGAAAGAATATGGTAATAGAAAATTTGAAGTTGCGAGCCACTGAGAAGGGTGGTGTCAGATTTAATAAAGAAGGTGTTCGAAGGTTGTTAATGTGATAAGGCATCGCGCAATTGAGAGATGGTTGCCGTCAGAGAACGGCAGAAGGCAGGTCCAAGCAGGATGAGTTGTGACGATGTGGAGGGACTTTTAATGAAGGAGGAACATTGGGTATACATCTTGAGTTGAGCAGTCCCAGAGCTGATGGAAAAGACGACAAGAGAGCTAGCTCGCGTGCGTGCGGATAGTGCGTGAAGCGAAGGAAAGGGCAAAAACGTGTTAGCCAGTGCAAAAATAGCTAGGCAAACTAAAACCGATTCGGAAAAAATTGGGATGTAATAAGAGAAGCCATCGGAAACTAGCAAGAGAGGCTTTACACCATCCCGTAGTGCCGGAAGGGTTGATGGAAGAAGTTGTTATTATGCTTACTGAGAGGCGAATAGAAACAGGAGCCGAATGGAGAGACTATGTCGACAATGTAGAGAAAGAAGGTGAGCTCGTGAATGAGTTATATGAATTTCTACAGACTGATGTCTCTCAGCTCAAGCGCACCGTAGAGTTAAGGTGCCAAAAGCGTCTCATCAAGGATCGGGCCTGAAATGCGGTTCGGCGAAGTGGCCGAGCGAAGACCTTCGCAACATACGGTGGAAGCTAGTTGGCAAAGGTCACGTGTGCAGGAGAGACTATGCACGTCGGCGCATAACTATCGAGAACATGAAGCGGGTTTATGGCCAACAGCCCCACTGCGAGAGGACGGCAGGGAATGGCTGAGTCAAGCGTTCATTTGGTGAACAGACCTGAGGTCCACCATACATTGCTTTGACGTCCCGGGGTGTTCAAAGGGACAAGAGGTGAGAATTTCGATGAATTTTTGAGAAAATTCAGGAGAAGGTATGAAACAGTGATTTCGTGCGATGAAGCACTGGTTGAGATACTAGCCGATGATCATCTAGCCGGGAGGGCTAAAAATGTATTTGCTTCGCTACCACGCTCAGTTAGGGAGTGCGGGTTCGAGGCAGTCACGCAGGAGATGGCCAGGTTGATGGCATATGATTCTACAGCAGGCAGAATGAGAGCGCTGACCGAGTTAAAAAATTTGAGGATGAGTCCAGGTCAAGAACCTGGAGAGAATAGGCAGACAGGCAAATGCGGAGTGTACACTGGAAGACAGGTCGATGGAGTATGCCCAAATTTTACTCAGCAGACAAGGCGGTTACTCATCCGTCGGCGCCGCTCGCCGCGCCCTTCCGTGAGGCATATCACGGCTGTCTTGTCATTAAAGGCAGTTGGCACGATAAATCCCTAAGACGAGTAGGATTAATACGCCTGGCAGGACGGAATTCCGCGACCCTGAGCAGGCGCTGCGTAGCGCCTTTCCAAGGAAGGTACCCTTATAAGGGCCCGTCAAGCTACAACATACCGACCCGAACGCCCACCACGCCCGCCCGCCCACAAATGGACGACCGTTCCTGATGCTCGTATTGCTTCATTTGCTAAGTAAATTATGAAGCGAAGGGATTGGTATGAAGCGGCCGCGATGCTGCATGGATATATGAGTACACACATGCAGCCGTATCTACCGTAGCGGTTATTGGCAATTTACGGGAAACTCGTCCGAAATTGCTTTCTGAGTCATTAAGAACGAAGGCTTTTCTTCGCAGGTTTTTGACCGTTTCACTTCGTTTTTTCGCCATTTTCCCCACTATATAGCGCCCTACTAGCATTTTAGGCCGAGTACCAAATTATCGTGCCAACTGCCTTCCAATTCCTATAGTCTCCGTATATTAGTATCTTATTGTGAATGATCATTTTGATCGATCTAAATGGTATATTTTCAGGTTGTTGAAATATTACGCACCGATGAGCATTTCTATCCTGGATTCAAGAAAAGTCCATTATACCCGAAAATGCTTGCCGAACTCGGTATCACAGGTGACGAAGATCGGCCAGAAACCCCTGCCTCAGACACCGGATCTGCATTATTCGGTCCTATCTGACCAAGAACAGCGTCCTATGGTCAAAGAGGTACGGTGTTACTCACAGCTTTTAGTTCTTCACGCTCGCTCCTTCAAAATTGGGTTACAACTACGAAGTACCCATTTTACTTTTTGAGCTTTGCTGCACCCAGCTCTTAGCAGGAAAACATTGGAACCGGGAGAGTTGGCGAAAAAAAGGCGGGTCAACTCTGATCGTTCCCACCACTTGTCCCGAAGCGGTCTCGGAGGATCACCTACTTGATCATTTTTGGCCGACGCTGCCAATACCTACGAGTCCGCGATTCCCCAAACTCTGCGACTCTCCAGCGACTCTCCACTTCTTCAAAGGCGTTGCC